AAGAGCACAAACCTATGACGTCAAAGCATAACGATGCTATAAACACAGTTCACATAATACGGTCATTAATGAATATATGTTTTGAGAGTAAAAATACAGCTGGGTTAGACTAAGATTTTATTAATATGTTCTTATTCGACCTTCTCAAACGAACATAAATTATTTATCATGAAAACACCAACACTTGTATGGAAGAAAGTCTCTGTAGTGAGCAACAGGCTTATTCGAATACATAAAGAACGGGACAACAGAATTAGACATTAATTTTATTAATATAGAAAACTACTAAATCCCAAGATGTTTAGAAACTGACAGAAAATCATTAACTTTTTCACGCACATAGCCGTCATTGGCTTTGTCAGTTTTCCAACGTCCATGTTTCTTAAATAAAATTAAAAACAAATTAAGCCTACTTGTGATTAGCCAACATCTCTGGCTTACTTGTAATTAGCCAACATATCTGGCTTACTTGTAATTAGCCAACATCTCTGGCCTACTTGTAATATTGAACCAACATCTCTGGCTCAATGATTATAATCCATAAACATATTATCATACACATCAGATCAACAGCTATGACTAATGTCTATAACACACGCATATTAGGATCAATCCTCACAGCTAACAGCGATCCTCTGAAATTTTCGGGATGGAACAAACACTGCCGGATCGGGCTAACCATATGTCCTTAGTATTAAAGAATTCATAAATGTCACAAACATAAGGACGATAATTTCCATCTCTATCCAACAAAGAATACCAAAATGGCGAAGATGGCCAAAAGGGAACTATAAGTGTACACCTAGCTTGACAAACTACTGCATGTAAAATAGCTCGTTTAACTAAATTAACAGGGAGTACCAACCAATTGTTTTCTTCGCCCCACAGTTGCGCAAAAGTGTCTATACCCTCCGACAGTAGATGAAAAAAACCTCGTGTTAAATCTAGGAAGCTTAGCGTTATTCACATTAGAAACCTATCTACTGAAACCCTGGCACCACCAACTGTTTAAAAAATCGAAAAATTCCTCCGTTACATCCCAGTCGTTAGAATCATCGATCTTGCTAATAACATCTGCAATAACATTCTCCTCTCTAGGAATCCATTCAATAGATAAATTAATCTGATTTTCTGCGCAAATCTGGAAAATATCTAACGCTAGTAATTGAAGCTCAACCTTCTTACTACCGGCCTGTACAATCTGCACTGTACTCTGACTGTTTGAGTACCATTTTACATTAGTATCCGCAAACATATTACTGTAGCTATCCAGAGCTAAATTAATAGCTTTTAATTCCCTCCTAGTGGAACTTTTTCTTGTTTCATCCTCAGACCACATTTGATAAAAATCAAAGTTATTAGCGTGAGCTATATGTGCTCCACAGGCTATGCTATTTGCGTCTGAATAAACTATGGTAGAAGGTAACTTAAACTCTTGCAACTTTTTGAAATTTAGTTTTTCAATGCTGCTTTTCCAAAACAAAATCTCCTTCAAACACATATGATCCAACTCAATCGCAAACGATTTATCCGACGAGAACCCGTTTTGAATAAGGTCGTACAAAAACCTCGTCATTAACCTTGAAAGATTACCAATCACCGGGGACATTGAGATAATAGTACCCATAAGGGACGCTAGTTTTCTGTTCGTAACCCGGGGTAAACCTGCCCACAGTGTATCGATGATCCCGTATAAATCGTCCACCCTACGTTCGGGAATTGAAAATGCGAACTCCTCAGACTCCCACTATAGACCCAACCACTCTAACGACATAGTGGGAACAAAAACAGACTTATCTTCACGTATCGTCTAGATACACAACTATTTCAACGATATTTTTTCTCCAATATTTACCCAGGGGTCTCAAACTTTTTGTAAAAATATATGGAGCGCTAGTCAAGCCAAATGGAAGAACCCTAAAGCAAAAATACTTTCCTTCTCAAGAAAATCCCCAAATACTTAAATCAAGAATCAGGCGCTTCTTCACGTTTTTGTTCACAGATACTGATAGGGGATTTACAATAAATGGGGCGAATGGAACCTGAACAGCACGACCATTTTTAACTAATTCCCAAACTGCCTGCGATACAAAAACTGAATGTACATGTGCAGATTTGTTATTCTTAAATACTGCTTTTGGAGGGGTGTATAAAAAAGGAATAACATAGCCGTTTCGTAGAGTTTCTATTATAAATTCTGAATTTCCTATTTGTTCCCAAAATTCAATATGCGACTTCAACCGGCCATTGACAGACTCGTCGTCATCAACAACAATATTTCCAAAAGAATCTGCGTGTTCTGAAAATTCTCTAGACCAAGAATGTAAATCATCTAATTGGTACTTAACATCAAAGTCTGGATCACCTCGTCCCTGTTCCCTGCTGTACTGGTCTGTCTTGAATAGGAGGGAGCAGATCCTCCGTAACTGGGATACCCCGCCTGAACGCCGTTTCCCCCCTGGGCACTGCCTTCCCCAGTGACCCGTGGCCCCGCACATGAAACACACGTCGTACGGGGAAGCTCTCCGAAAGGGCCGCTGCTGACAACTAGCACTTCCTGTGAATCCGGTCGAATTATTTGAATCCAACTGTTCACCCCCAGGGCGATAATGACCACGCCCAGCGCCCGAATGACCACCCGGCCAAACGGTCTCCTTCTGTGGGTCCTAGTTGTCCTAACCGCACAGGCCTCGGCCCGACGCAATCTTTTGTCATCCTCCGAATCGGAAGCTAAATCGTCCGACAAGTATTCCTCGACCGTACCCCACCCTGCTGGGGATTTATCGCATTAACTGACAATAATAACAACAACGATGTCCAATATCAACTGCTAGACCACGACTATGCGACGAAACAAAGCGACACTCGTTCACACATTGAAGAGACGCTGACTACTGAGGCCCCTACTACTGACAATTTGACTGATGAGCCGACACGAACGTCCGATAAGGATCCCTCCAGTACTAGTGATCACGAATACGCCAATAACTTTTTAACCTAGTCGCAGGGTAGAACTCGTGGTGTTATCTGAATACCTGGACCAGAAAGGTTGTAAGGAATGCGGTACTAGGCTATACGGTTGTGCAATACCCAACAGAAAAGACATTTTGGCCTGGGAAGTATTTTATACATACAAGTAAGTGTATCACACGCCATCACAATAGTCAGGATTATGTTTTATATTTGTGGTTATATGCCCAATAGGCCTACATTTCAAGTTCCTTTTTTTATATTACATACAACACTGTTATTTTTAAAATGTGATATTTTTATACCACAATATCGTATGTTGTTATCTGTATGTAACGTGAAAGTTTATTATTGTTTTGTTAAGAATGTAAAGGTTTATTAGTGTTGTACATTGTATAGTGTGATTTTTTTACATCACAACGTAGTATGTTATTTGTATAGTATGTAGAAATTTATTATTGTTGAGTAAAGTATGTGGAACTTTGTTATTATTGTTCATTGTGACATTTTTGCTATGACACAGTAAAGTACATTGTTTGTTATAATGTTATTCACACACAATGTGCAATTTGTTTTATATTGGTTATTACATTTGAAGTAATTTTGTTGGTTGGAAATGCCTACTGTATTTTTTTTCTCATCTTTAAGTGCTATATTCATATATGTTGTATGTTGTAAATTGTTTATTATTGGTACAAATGTAAGAGTTGTCTCTCTTCTTTCTTTTTTTTTTTTGTATTTTTGTATTTTTTGTAAAAAAAGATTTGTAGAATATGTAGAAGTAAGTCCGCAAGATATTTATTTTTTTGCCATCTATATTTTCTTTTCGTTGTCCTAAACGTGTTGCATTGGCAATCGGAATTTTATTGATTCGTGTAATGGGCATTTTTGTTTGTTTTAGTATAATTGTTAGAAAATTACTCAGTTGTTTTTATGTTTTGTTCATCAATATTGACATCGTTATTATTTTGTATGTGTTATATTTCTAATTAACCATTTTTGCATCAAATATTATGTATTTTATTTCATTTTGGTCATTTTTTTTTTTTAATCGAATTTGAAGAAAATTCCGCAAGATATGGGTTGTTGTTCAGAAATGATTTGCTTAAGCAATAGCGATGCCGTTGAAAAAAAAACAAAACAATGCCTCATTACATTTAAGGCGGAGGGACGGGGATCCTGAAATATTTAAATATAAACTTTATTTATATTATTTACAACAGTTATGAAATAAAATTTTACAACTTATAATAGTTGAAAATGTCATGAATTCGACAGGCTTTCGGAGTTTTATCACTTTGCCCTGGAGTTCGATTTATTGTTTCACCTTGGGACAAATAGAGTTTGTTCAGTCAAAATACAGTCCAGCTAGCCGTAAGTTCTGGAGTTAGCGTGTCATCCGTGATATTATACGGTGCAAGCTTGCTGCCATAATCCTAACTGGTGAAGAGTGAGGAACTATTACAATAACAGGCATGCACAAAAACGTGAGTGTTGTGGTAGAGGACTGTGGTATGACTGTATACAATGTAGCTTCAACTTAAATTAAAAAACGGTTTCTCGACTAGTTTTTCTCCAAATCCGATACGAAACAGCAAGAGTCATCTGAGGACGGATGTCTAGTTAGACACATAGGACGTCTAGAAAAGTGAAAGTAGATGCGATAAAAGATAACACGTGTTAGAAAGGAAACGAAAAAAAGATCACAAGTATTGCAAAGGGACAGCAGATAAAGTCTGGTCTTGTCAAAGTCACCTTCTTAAAGCACAAAATAAAATCCGGCATTAGTCGCCTTACACAATACACATGCAGCGGGATACAGCAGGTTTATCATTGATTTCTTCCATATCTCCTTAACGAAATACAAGTTAGAAACTATCTCCGATTGGCCCCCACAAGAGTCGCCTCCTACGACTATGTAAATGAATGCATGAGGCCTACTCTTTTCGCGAATCTACACGGGTTTGATTAACCAATAACATGTGTATGTACTAAATGAAATAATAACGAATATTCCAGAGATACACAGCTTTTTAGTATTTATTACAACCAATATTAAAACAACAGTGTTTTAAAGGATATATCTTGTTTTCAATTTGTGTATGACTGACATGCCACAATATTGAAGTTGATACACTTATTGAAATGGAGAGAAAATTCACATTGATTGCTGAGGATAATACCTTGCCATTCTTATTTTTGGTTTTCTTTGATACATAATACTGACTTAGAGGTAAGATCTTCTCGTCATTTCTAACTGATGGATTTGTTGTCGCTGAAATTTCAACAAGCTCTCTAAATGAAAGTTTAAGACCATAATGTCAACCCCATGATAAGTTATACTTAAAGACTCCAATTAAAAAATAGAATTCGGATACGTGATTTTTAATTATGTATTCCACTCTTACATTATTTATTAAAATTGCATATAACGACGACAGCTTTGTCAATAACGATGCATTAATGCTTATGGTATATTAAAAAAAGTGTACCGGCATCTTAACATGTCAATCTATTTGCAACCCAACTTAGTGCTACGAAATGACATAAGATATAAAGTTCATACACATGCATGTAGGCCATGAGCCATACCGGTCACAAATCAAAAGAGATGTCGCTACGCGAGACAACAAAAAACGTAGTAAAATTCGTATTTAAACATATATATTTGAGATTGTGAACGAGAAAAACGAAGGCCACGTGATTTAAGACTGATAAATGAACTTTACATGAATCTTTGTAACATTTTGTTGGGTTATGAAAGATATATACGTGTTATAAACATTAAAACTGAAAAGTTTTATGTTGTATATAACATGTTTTGTTCTTATACAACCGCTAAATGTCATAAAAAACCACTTTATGTAAAGTTCAGTCACACAGCTTTTGGTCTGACATGATATACATATAACAGTTAGATATGTTATCGGAGCAATTTACTATGATGCTTGTGTCTACCAAAAGCCAAAACCATCTTGGTTAGAAGCCTGTATTCCTTTTGACGAGATCTTAACATCCTCGTGACCTAGGTATACAGTTTATTTTGAATTTTTCGGCGGTATATCGCGATTTTACTGTCGCAAATTGACTTTTACTGGCGACTAGGAGCGGAGCCAGACAAACGGATATTTGCGACAGTATAATCACGATATATCGACGCAAATTTTCAAATAAAGTAGGGTTTTCCCCGTTCATATTTAAATCAACCACAACCAACGAAAGCATCGACGATTTTAGCATATTTTGATTGTTTTCTGCGTTGGATTGGTGACGTCATATATTTTTAAAGTAAGGCGGAATTTGGGGTCACGCTATTGTTCGTGACGTAATGAATAACCAATTTCATGACGTGTCAGGATCAGTCGGGGTCATCGACGTTATTAACAATCCCGATCCGGGCTTCATATGCAAATAAAAAAAATTGCGGACGGTTTTGATTGACTAATCAAATGCCTTGTTACATCTCAAATGAATTAGAATGATATTTTGAAGTATTCAAATTGACTGTAAAATGTATCAACATGTTATAATGCCAACGTCAGTATGTATCACTTCAATGACATATGTACTATTTGAATTCCGATGTTAATTTGATGTATGACTTTTCAGGAGGTTAAAACTTTGGGTGACTATATCATCTGTTAGGGGCTTTGTTTTGGACCTTGGTTATGTTGTCCGAAGGATTTTCACACAACACAGTACTTACAAGAATGTAGTCATAACGAGCAGAAAACACAGAAATGACGCTGCAACGAGAGGTTTTTAACTCACGGGAATACTGTTCTTAATTGGGTTTAAAGTGCTATAACAGCATACATAACTGATAAATAATTTTGGGAACGAGGTACTGCCTGTTGCTGATATTGAGTCCCGGTCATGTTCAGGGCTTTCAGTTGCTATTTTACATTTTCATGAGTAACGCTTTCCTTGGAATTGGAGGGCCATGTAGAAATACCTTTCTAACATTTCTAGAGTGAAAACCTATTTTTGGAATTAAAAAATCTCTAATTATCATGGTCTATTGAAAAACCTCCTGTTCACCGCGTGCACCATCAGTTTTGGCCACAGCAAAGCCTTAATCCAAAGATCAGGGGTTTCATATTTGTCGAAAACGAGTAGAGTCGAAGTAAGCGAGATTGATTCAGCGAAAAAAAAAATCAATTTTGACGTACCATATATTTTGGAAATGTAAGCAGGTGCGAACGTTAATACTTGATCATTATTTTAATTGTTTGAAAAGGCGTATCACCACTTTTAATTAAAAACCAAACCGAATAACGAATTGATCCGTCGAAAAAAAACTTGTTTTAAATCACCAAACAAAATTTCAAAACGACACCGATTTAGGTGTGAATATGAAAATGGAGCAGTAAATGTATAGAACTTTCTAATCTATTCTTAATTTCACCTCCAGTTTTACAGTAACCATGTGGTATTCCTCCCACCACATACTTATTTCTATACATTTGCACGTAAACGGGGGTTTGAAAGATTTCGTCACAAGTTAGCTTAAAAGTGTGACTAGGAGATTTACTCAACTTACAGTGATTGTTAAGCTATACATAATTGTTATATATGTATACATATATAAAGGAAATTCACCATACGGTGATTCCAATGTGTGTTTTTCGAACAATTTTTTTTCTCATCTTTCGCTGATGGATCAAAGGTCGACTGAAACCCGGATGTAGAGTGTCGAGTGAGATGGCCTTTATTTCAATTAATGCTAGAAATGCTATGAAAATATCAAATATTTATTGAAACTGTTAAACTACATATTTGTGGATATTAAAGTATACAGTGTAGTCACGGATAGTCATGCCTTTCCCGAGTTGTCTGCTACATTGTGTTGCGATAACACTACTCAACCGAACACCGACGCGATCACGTGATTTCCTTCTAATAAACTTCACTTACAGACATCGTCACAACCTCTAGATGCACAATAAAAGTTATCTTAATTTTGTGACAGTGAAAAATATATTTTAATATTAGCTTAAACTCTCAATTGGTTGCAACGTCTGTAAATATGTTCTGATGCATTGTTAAAATAATTCTCCTGATTTGTTATTCTTGAAGTAAAGCAAACACAACAGCTGTAGCAAAGAGTGTCTTGTTTTCAAACCTTACACTAGCATAGTTGTCATCATCGGTATTCCACACACATCTGCTGGCAATGACCACGTCTTGTGTTCCTTTTTGACCAATGGTTACAAAGGATACAAATTTGTACCTGGGAAACTGAAGTCGCTTCATACTGTTCCTGATTCTGTCACTGAGCTGCAATGACAGACTTTTACATCGTTTAGGCTCGTAGACCACGTGTTGTAATCCGCTTTTAAGGGCGTCTTTCATGCTTTCCTCGGCTTCTTTGTGATCGAATTTTCTGAATTTGATGTAAATCGTCTCGTTTCCTGTGTTTTCCAGTCGTTTCTGTCTGTCGTGTTGTATATTCTTCACATTTCGGGCGATATTTCTGAGCTTTATCAGCTGCATCATGTTTCCTGCCCCGGTGTCTCCTTCTTGTGATGTTGTTGACTTTTCTCGACGCAGGAGGGACAACATCTTATTTGATGGTGGTGTTCCATGCGTTGAAGACGCTTTCTTTTCGCCGGTGTTAACAACACTTGCTAAAATTGGCGATTGTACGTGAAGATGTGCAGTCATTCTAGTCAGAATCGTTTGTGCATTCGGTTCTGAAGAATCTGGCTGCATTATGGTTTGTTTTTTGGAATCAGTTGAAGAATCTGACTGCTTTTTGGTCGCTTTTTTGGAATCTGGTTGCCGTTTGGTCGGTTTGTTAGGATCAGATGAACTCCCCAATGATTCATTTTTATAATCCTCATACTCTAATGCTGTCTTGAAAAATGACGTTGCTTGATTTCCCTTTGAGCTTTCTGCTACACGTGTCTCATATGGTGTGGTTCCCTTTTAAAAAAGTGAAATATACATGTTAATTGATATTAATCAATCAGAATCGCTAAACAATATATTTTTCACTGCAGCTTTGAGTTAACCGTGTTATGTAACGGTTAAGATGTCGTCCAAGAAGTTTAACCAAGGGAAGCAATTATTATATACTTGTTATCTATAGGTACAAGAGCATTAATGTAAACTCTCAAGAGAGAAAGATAGTAATGACCTCGAATTGATTATTATAAAGAAGTGACAATATCATCTCATCACAATATTGAAATATACTGTATTCAATTTTTGCTTTTTTCGCCCTTCGTAATAATGGCAAATTTATCATCAAAGCAAACAGAAATAAGCGATATAATAAACATAGTGGTGAAATTGACATTGGGCGAAAATACATTTCATCGGCGTAGGGCGAAAATTTGACTGCGCGAAAGTTTCCCAGTATAAAGTACATGTATATCAATGCTATCTTAAATTTACATTACAAAATTAATGTCAATTTATTATTTTCTGGTTCAATTGTGCTTGCTCATTAACGATAGCAAAGAGTTATACATTCATGTTATATGGATGAATTTATTAAGTTCTTGTTTTCATAAAAATACCACCGCTATGGTGATTCCCGCCCAGAGCCTCTTCAATATGAGACAGTGAAGGACCTAACCCATGGCTATACCGTCTTTGCGTATTGCAGAGTTATCTTCTCTTGTGAGCAGGTATTGATTGTTACGTCATTGGTTTGTGAGAGTAACGTCATCAATTTTTGAGAAAACGACGTAATTTTCTCACACAAACCAATGACGTAACAATCAATACCTGCTCACAAGAGAAGATAACTCTGCAATACGCAAAGACGGAATACCGGTCAAGCTACCCACTCACTATATCTGCTAGTACACTTTGACGTGACGTACATTTTTCACGTTACATCATTTCCGCATTGGATTCTATGTTAACTTCGTTTGACATACAATTTCCAATCAAATTTCCAGTGTTTCTTCGGGTATTAATTTTATCATTATCAGTGACTCTGTTATCGAGATATCACTTTTCAGCCCAACAAAACAGTTCATCTTTCACGTCACTGCCTAAGACACTAGGCAAACTTTTGCCTTAAAATCATTTTGGCCAATTATTTCGTCGTGGTTAGAAATCTATAAAACGTTTAATACTAACTTTATTAACAACAGAGGAAAACTTACAAAGATCCTTTGTGGGGAGATCTAGAACATAAGGAGGGAGGGGAGGGGGGAAGGGAAGGGAAGGGAGGGGGTTATTATGACACATCACTTTATTGTTTTCTATTACATTACTGGAAATTATATCAAAATGTACAACCCTTAGAAATATCTGCAACCTTTAACCTTTTTTTTTGTACAAATATACTGATATAACAAATGTTAAAGGACAAATACAGATAGAGGTCTAAACAATATTGTCCGGAATACATGACTATAAAGTATCCTACATGTTTAATATCAGAGAAAATTCATCTACACGTGGACAAAATATATATAAAAAAGAAAAGAAATTGGATTTAAGTTTAAATATAAAAATATTTTCATTTGCACGGAGACCTGTTGATTTATGGAACCATTTCCCGTCTAATGTTGCGAATTCAAGCACGGCTAAACAATTTGAATATAAATTAGACCAAGCGCAGAAATACAATTTTAAAGAAAAAGTCGAAATCATAAGGCTGGTTGCAACTTTTGAAATAAAGGTTATACTTTTATATTTCCGAGCCGAGTCGAAGGAATGTAAAATCTTAATTTTGTTGGAATAAAATCTATGTATGCATACAATATTAAAATGGTAGGTTCTCTACCTTAATCGTAGCACCGTAAAACATTCGTTATTATTATTTGCATGTTAAATACATACCTGTGTAGCCATAGTTTGCTTTCCTTGTATACCAGTAGTGCTGTCCAAAGGCGCTGCCAAAGAAATGACTAGCCAAATCATGGCCGTCTGACTTTCACTTTCTTTCCCATGGACTTATTTATGCTTCAATGTAATTATTTTACATTTATTTATTCGGCTTTAAATGCAGACAATGTTTCTTAACATTTCTCAAAGAACCCTTTCTTACGTTTGCTTATAACCAGTCCCTTTGAAAGCACTTCCGGTTGTTGAACAGGCATCGCACACACACTCTCAAATTATATTTACATAACAAATACAACTGCTATTCTTTCTATTCTTTAGTCTATTTTAGTAGCAATAAATACTTGCAAATAAAATAAACCTCTAACGTCAATTTTGACCCCTTCACATGAGTGAAAATCCTATACATAGTCAACCCAGTTTTAAATTCAAACCAACGATTGTTAAATCAAGTCTCGTCACATATAGTAATTTCCGTTTTTCTCCAGAAATGTTTGACAATTACTTATGAGGTGTATGTACAATGTATGTGACAGTGAAGTAACGAAACCAAGCGTTACATGTACATAGTTTACGTTTTTCTGAGTGAATTTTGATATTTTGCAGGAAATAGAAACGGTATTTTCATCCCGTGGTTCTGATATGCAAATTTATATTTACATAGTTTTAGTATGAATGAATACACAAAGTATTAATGTGTGGCATTATGATGTATGTATTGTAAACAAAAACACAATAGAACATATAGTTTATGCGTGTAAAATAACACAAAATTACTGGCATGACGTACGCAAATGGAGTTTTTTTTAAAAACGGTTAGATATTTCAAATACAATAAAATTGATTCGTCGTTATTAACTCCCAACAAATGTATAAATAAGTGTGACGTTTACAGCATTTATGTTTTTACTTGATCTTTTTATTATCACGTCATCAACTTTTGTTGAAGTTAGGAAAAACCTTTTGTTAAAATTAGGAAAAACAAACCTTTAAACTCTAAAGCATTGAGAGATAACAATCCATGTATCGTTTGTTTATAAAAATCGTCATTTGTTTACAATCGGGGTTTCCCCAAAGGGCGGTAACTTATACCGAAAATGACGTCATGATTAGGGGGAATTCCCACATTACGAAGTTTCCCGATGTTGGCCGAAGTTTGCCATCTTCATTATACATGGAATACCTTAACTTCATATCGTCAACATTACAGGGAGACTTTAATAAGAAAGTATATAAGCATTTACTGAAAACGAAAACATGTTTAAGAGGAATGAAAGGGGGTACAGTATGTAAATTTTTTGTATTAAATATAGTTTGTTAAAATCTTTAAAACTTTCCGTATATTACGAGAGTGGTAATATTAATGTCAATTATTTTGTACTTTTCAATTATTTTATTACAACGTATGTCTTACGCCATCATTTTTAATACACGTATTTGTCAAACCTGCTTGTGCAGTCCATGTGTCCTCCTGTGCATTTCTCACCGGTATTGTATTATCATGTTAATGTCTTGTCACGTGATTGCGTGTTCGTACGTGTACATGCGAGTTTTTACCATCATTCTTGCACTTGACATGGACAGTACCTGACGTACTTGTTACACGTACACGTACATATTATAAACTAGAAAATGTCTGTAAGACATAAATACTCCCGCTCATGGATGGGACGGGACGGATGTGTATGTTTATGCCCCCTATTTTATGGCGGGGGCCTAAACATACACAGACCAGTGCAGCAAGATTATTAAAGTAAGTGACCAGAAGTAAAAACAATTTTGATTTATGATATTGATAACCATTATGGAATTATATATATTTTTTCAGTTAGGGGAAGCTAAATCATCTTTCATTTCTTAGACGTATGTTATTTACTAAGCCTATTTTATAAATAATTTGCTTAATTAAGATGTTCTATTTTTTACCGACAGACAGACGGACGGAGGGACGGACAGACAGACAGACAGACAGACACGCAGGTTCGAGTATGTTACCTCCCTAACTTCGATGCGGGGTATAACTAGATACTTAATAATATTATAGCACTTTTTAACAATGTTTATAACATGTCTAGCTCAACTGTAGTCGATCAGGGCAGATGTTATGATATCAATCGATGTCACTTACCCTCCGTTTTCTTGATCACGATCTGGCCACATGTAAACGGAAAAGTTTTAGGCCTATGATCGAGACCTTTTCGTGAAAGATCTATCAATGTGTCCTTGTGTTCAACTACAAATGCTACACAGCAGGAGGCAAGTTTAGCGACGAACAAAAAAACCACGGGTTTCGCGACTTGAACAATTTGTTGAAAAGAAAAATTTCAAAAGAGGATATTGAGAGCAGACAATTTTAAAAGATGAGAAAAAATATATATGCCAATTCATTTACAAAAACATAAAAAAAAAAAAACGAGTGTCTTATCGGAAAAAAAAAAAGTGTTGGTACAGTATTAGACGCACTCTTTCGAAAAAATAATGATTTACTACCGATGATAATGAACAAGGAAAGATGTTTTGCAGGATATGAAATAATTCGAGAAAGTGTACAAAATGACTAACCAAAGAATTCGAGAAATAAATCATCAGTAGAAGCTCAGAGCAAATACATGGCAACTTGGAAATAGAAGATATAGGTTTGAGGCTAAATAAAGAAACCGAAATTAGAGACATTTTACTAGCTTTTGCTATGCGTACTGGGTTCAAACTAATATTGCTTCACATGTCCATGTCACCGTGTTAACCTGATTTTGTTTTTTAACAAACTATATATTTTATAAGATTATAGCACCTCTGACAGTGTTGATTACATATTTAGCTCAACTGGAGTGTAGCAGCATAGTTGTTATAAAAGAGCACATTGTCTAAAGTACACCTGTCATCAGTCTCCTTGGTCGTTTAGCCGAAATTATAGGGACATTTTACAATTATTTCGGGTGGTCGGGTGGCGCATGGGTAAGCGTGCGCGCCTTTCAGCAAGGCGGCCGGGATCGATTAGCCGTCGGACGTGAATAGATACCCGGTTTGACGGGTAATGCGCATTTTATACCCAGCGAGACCCATACTATTTACCAAGCAAGAAAAAACTAAATTATCGGCACTTCATTAAAATCGATAGTCGGAAGAGATGAGGAAGATCTCAAAGCAAGAAAATATCCAAGGGGGTGAAAGATTATATTTATCTCACACCGGTAAACGTGTGGATACACTTGTCCGGGATAAGATCTTTGAGAGGCTTGTTAAATCTTAAATTAGATGAAATAAAAAAGCACTCTCAAATGATTTCAGTTCCAGTAATCGATCATTTTATGTCAACAAATGCAAAACAAGAGGTCAAGATGGCTCATCTGGATATTTAAGCAATCGTGGCCAAATATTCTTCAGCAGTAAGGCTAATAATATGTAAGGGACATTGCCTTTTCCTTGGCCAAACATTCCAGTATGTGTGTGCTCAATACATGTTTATATTAAGATAGGGTGGGTATCGCAAAAGTGTCCATATTATGACACAGGGACCAAGTCCCTAAGGTTTTGGCCAGACCCCGTAGCCATTTCTAAAACATGACTGTAATTGTCTCTTTATGCCCAGCAATTGTACATATGTCTTAAGGTCTAGGATATCAACAGTTCCAAGGTTATTACCATCAAACGAGCCCTTTGAGGGTGTGGTCAGACCCCAGTGTCAATTTTAATATATTATTATTGTACATATGTATCTGTTGCTTCGTGCCTGGCAGTTGTATATATATATATAGGGTTATGGTGTGAGCATCTCGATTGCTACCAAGCAACTAAGTCCCCACGGGTGGGGTCAGACCCCTGGTCATTCTAGTAGAATATATGTATCTGTCTCTTATTATCAGCAATATTATGTATGGTTGCAGGGTGGGAATCCCAATAATTTCTAAATTAAAAAACGCTTTTTTGCCATTCAACCCCCAGGTGGTCATCCCTTCAACTTATGGAATTTGAAGTCCCATCATCTGTTAATGCATCCAACTAAATATGATTGGCATCAATCCTTTAGTTCTAGAGAATAAAATACTTAAAACAATTTCTTAAATCCGGAGAAAAAGTCATTTTAATCAATATGGCCGAAAAATGCCCTTTTAGCACCGCCCCTCAGCCTCAAATGGTCAGCCCCTTTATTTTGCAAGTTTTGAATCCTCACGAGAAACTATTCATCTCTCAGTTCAACAGAAGAAGTAGCAAAGCAATTTGACCAACTTATTCGTTTTTGATCCCTTTCCTCAGCCCCTCAATTCGTACAATTCTGGAAACTTACGACCTGTAAATGCTTCCAACCAAATATGGTCGACACCAATCTCTTAGTTCCATAGAAGAAATCACGTTCAATATAGCCAAATTATCCCTTGTCGGTCCAGGTGAGCTGAATATTTGTAAATGTTTTTTTTTTATAAAGGTCCAAAAAAAATACATTTTGAAAATTTGTTTAGGTGATGAGGCTTTGAGCAACTGGACCCTTGCATACAATGATGATGTACAGTGTTTATAACATAACATCGATCTATGGTTAAATTATACGTTGTTGTGATACTTGAATCCGGTGCAAAGATCCTGTACTGGAAATACACTTAATTTACATGTTCCAGTGTTATGGTATCAATCGGTCGATCATAACAGACCAGATTGTTGGTAAAACCCTAACTTAATGCATTAATACATTAACACATTACATCTCCAGCACACACGCAGGCATGCACACATAGGGAGATATCAGCCAGGTGGCATAGGACTAGTTAGCGCCTGATAAGACAACTCCTGCTAGGTCCTCAAAATTGTATTCTAACACGATTCGTTTGCAACGCGTGTTTTGATTGGTTACGGACCATGTTCTAATCTGCGATAGAATCATGATCAATCGTGTTAAGCTCCTCCCATCGCACTTAAGCCACGCCCCGTTTCTAACCAAAACAATATGGCGTCACGCTCGCCTCATAGCGAAATCCCGCTGATAAGGCTAGTAGGCAACATAACAGAAACGACCGATGAAATGCATTTGTTGAATGAATTAAAAAGTAAATATAACACATTCATTGCTCTTACCTCCATTTATAACTGAAACGTTCGTTCCATCCGTGTGAAGGCATCTAGTTAGATCCGAAATCATATCAAACATTTCACATGTGTCGTATGCATTTATACAAAACTCTCCACAAATCTATACAAATAATCACCGATTTTGTCGATAAGCACAGATTGGTATGCATACTGACATGTACATGTATGAACTTGTTCAATAGGAAACCGAATGTGTCGTTTAAACTTTGGTAATAGGACGTTCACGAACAATCCAAATATTCCGCCTCGTCAACATGCAGATCGAGCTCTCGCCAGTATGGGCGGGTCTAAATGACCGACTTTTGAAAGCTTCTTTCCGATTGGTCAGTCCGCTGCAGAATGACACGTCGCCAGTTCAGGTCACAAAGTACTTTTGTACAAGGAAATACAATGTTTCTAAACATATAAGCGTAGTATATTTGTTAAGGTGTGTTAGAATTGGGATAGTACGTTGTTTTTCGTGTCTATACTGGCGATTAGAACATGAAATTTGGTTTCAACTCTCGACCTATCGGTCTCGAGTTCAAACCCAAATTTCATGTTCTAATCGCCAGTATAGCCACTCAAAACAACGTACTATCCCCTAATTGATTAATGTATATGCTAATTGTATTGATTGTATAAGTTGTATATCTGTGTACTGTGAAGTGCTTTAGAGTGGCTTTTTTCTAGCTAGATAGGGCGCTATATCAAATGTTGCGTATTTTCTTATTTCATGTATATACTAACTGGGGACTTCATAGAAAATTATCTATAACACTTGAATGATTGGCTTGTTTCAATCCTTTATTATTTTGTATTCTGATAAAGCGATCTGGGATAGGTCAAACATAAACATTACGGTTTGCTGTCAGATCAAAATCACTTGATACCTCTTACGATGACACAGAAGATAACAAACATATATCACATGATCGATTACACGTTAACCCAAACATCACATGACCTATTCAACGCATCGTCTTTATCAGACATTTATCAAGTGACCAAGCTCAGGTAAGCCGTGTAAACATCACCTGATATATTTTACCAAGTATATATCCAGTTTAAGTACACTTTATTACATGTTACAGTTCACGTACAGTCTATGTCAGTTAAAGTCAAAACCATTCACATATCACGTGACCTAAATCTTCTATTGTCTTTACCAAAGGAAAAAAACGCATATATCGGACACACATCAAAAATCACCAGGGGATGATCTTGCCGGCGTAGTCTAGCATAAGACCGTTGGTTTCCGTATTGAGGCCTGCCATTACGGTGAGCATGCCTTGTACCGACTGTTCAGCTGTGATGAGGGCGGACGGTCCGCCCATGTCAGTCTTGACGTAACCCGGATGTAGGCTCGTGCTCAGAATGTCGTCAGACATAAGGTCTACACTAAGATTCTTCGTCACCATGTTCAGCCCCGCCTGTAAATATTCAAGTATGGATGAGGAAGTATTAGTAATACCAGACTGAAAACGTATGATTCTCAGGACTTATTAGGACAGACCAGAACGTTAACATTCACGTATGATTCTCATGACTTAGTAGGACAAACCAGCACGTTAACATTCATGTATGATTCTCAGGACTTAATAAGACAGGCCAGCAAGTTAACATTCACGTATGATTCTCATGACTTATTAAGACAGGCCAGCACGTTAACATTCACGTATGATTCTCATGACTTATTAAAACAGACCAGCACGTTAACATTCATGTATGATTCTCAGGACTTATTAAGACAGGCCAGCACGTTAACATTCACGTATGATTCTCAGGACTTATTAAGACAGGCCAGCAGTTAACATTCAGGTATAATTAAGGACTTATCAAGACAGACCAGCATGTTAACATTCAGGTATGATTAAGGACTTATTAAGACAGACCAGCATGTTACTTTCAGGTATGATTAAGGACTTATTAAGACAGGCCAGGATATTAACATTGATATATGGTTCAGGACTTATTAAGACAGACCAGCATGTTAACATTGATATATGATTAAGGACTTATTAAGACAGGCCAACATGTTAACATTGAGGTATGGTTTGATTCTTATTAAGACAGACTAGTATGCAGTTGTTATTATACTCACCTTGGAAATTCTGTACGGATAACGTCCCCCACTTCTATTGTCGGCCATTGATCCAACCTTGCTAGTCATATTGACAATTGCCGCTTTTGAACAGCTCATTGGCTGGCCAGGCGACGCTTTTGCAGCCTTTTGTATCAGGGGAAGTAACTCCTAAAATGATTCATGGATACATGTAGGTATTAAAAACATGAAAATACTAAGAGTAATAGATGTTAATTTTCTCAGATGTTATTGATATAAACGAATACGTTACCAGATTTTTTTAAGGATAATAATATAATTACGTATTTATATTGCAGATGAAAATGTAGGGCCGACAGTATGAATACTCTACCTGTTAAACAGTGGACTGACAGTGCGAGACGATTACCTCATATATAAAGTGGACTGACAGTACGAGACGATTACCTCATATACAAAGTGGACTGACAGTACGAGTCACTAATAATTTAAAATTCAAATTGGACTGATAGTGCTAATTGGTTTGGTTTGTTTCTGGTTTAGATTCTGTCAACAGTTATGGTCATTTAAAGCTGACAGTGCAAGTTAAAAAGCTTTCAATTGAGTTTTTTTTAAAACAGTTCATGTTTTTCTGGTTTAGAGATCTTCCCCATCTCTTCCTTCTACCGTTTCTAAGGAAGTGCCGACATCTTAGTTTGACCTTCCTTGGTAACGAGTATGGGTATCGCTGGGAATAAAAATCGCATTTCCCGTCAAACCGGTTACTGTATCACGACGAAGACTAAGAGTTCATAATAAAGTGTATGTGTGTTGGAAGAAAAAGACCGATGTTATATATGGGATTTATAGATATTATTCAGTAACATACCTTTTATTTTGGATACACAATTTTCAAGAATGTGCCATAAGTAACAACCAGCTTGGCAGTTTTTCAAAGTACTCAGGTGAGTGTGTTTGATTTTTGATATCTGTTGCCGATCAGGGTGTGTGGTGTATTGAATCGCCAGACGGTCAGTTGTAGAATGATAACTGGTTTGACAGGTAATGTGGTGTTTATACCCACCGAGACCCATACTCGTTACCAAGCAAGGAAACAATTAAAATATCGACACTTCCTTAGAAACGGGGAAGATCTCAAAACCAGTTAAAACATATTTTAAAAAAACCAACACTTTTTTTAAAAATCTCAATCGAAAGCTTTTTAACTTGCACTGTCAGCTTTAAGGACGTGCCGGGTCTAGTCGGTGGTGGATGACCAGAGAACCCGATGAATAACTACCATTCTGTGACCAGTACCTGGCAACTGCCCCATGTAGAGCTCGAACCCGCGACCCAATGGTGGAGGGTTTGTGTTAGTAAACGGTCCGACACCTTATATTAACTATTTGGCCACCGCGGCCCTGCGGCTGATAATGTGAGTCACTAACCTTTAGGGACAGTGCGAATCACTAACAATATGTTTAAACAGTGGATTGATACCTTACATTTAACTGCTCATCTTATATTTATACAGTGAATTGACAATGTGAGTCAATACCTTATACATAAAGAGTGGACGACAGTGCGAGTACTAACTTATATTTATACAAATATTGGATTAAAAGAATTCATCCCTGATATGAGGTAAGGATAAGGTAACTCAAACCCAATGGATAAAATATTGAGCAGGAGACCCGAGGCTTTGCCGAGTGTCTTTTGCTCAATATTCTATCCCGAGGGTTTGAATAACCTTATCCTTACCTCACATCGGGGATGGATTCTATTTCTTGCTTATTACCTAAAACTCGAAAAAACATCTGCTCTTCTAGTAAAGTTGCAGACTGTCCGCGCATATCTCATTTGCATATGCAGCAGGATTGCAATTGTTAATGACGTCAATGACACTGACTGACACCAAAAAGTCATAAAATGACGTCACGAACAATAGCTTGACCCCGAAATTAAAGGTCACTATAATTCCCCCGCCAGTCTGCGTGTCTAAGCGATCTAGACCTGTGAGTCGGATAGAATTTTCCAGCACCGCCAGAAATGCGGATATCTCGGTCTAGTATGCAAGAATGACATTTACCTTCAGATCGTCTGATGGAAAATCGAATTGCTCGGTGCTGAAGCGGACGTAAAACAACTCAAACAAACATACAATTTACCTTAGCCAGAAACAGGGGGCCAATGGTATTGGTTAGGTAGAGACTTTGCATACTCTCCACAGTAACAGAGGAGAGGTCAGCGCGGTCAATAGTCCCGGCATTGTTGATGAGGAGGTTTAGACCACTGCCTTGTAAAATAACCTCTACTTCTTCTCGGGCACGTGGGAAACTGGCAGGAACAGAAACGTCTACGGGAACAGATGACAAAAACGGATGACACACTTAGTTATATGTGCAAAAATAACCCACAAAGATTAAATGTATATACTGTTAATAAACATCTTATTTTTATGTTGAAACGAAGTACATTTTATCTTCGTATAAGAACGCAAAGTTTTGTGTCAGAAAATAATCAATGTTTATAGGTGTTCCTGTAAATAAAACTGATGATGACTGTCCGATTTCTCGTTCAGGTAAACTGTTCGTGAGTTAAGTCCAAGCAGATATTATGTTTATTTCTATGATTTCTTCTGTGAATACATCAGCAATAGTCATTCAAGAATGCCATATTAGTCGCGCCAACACCTGCTATCAATAAGCTTACGAATACTGTAATGGAAAAGGGCTAAAACTCTTTTTAAATAATTTTCAAATTTCAATAGACGTGTATGTCAATAAATATCTCTCTACAGACTGTGCACCATCAATAAGTTCCCTGCATACAGTGCGTCAATAGATTTGTCTACGCTGAACATTATGGCGACAATGGATACTTGTCAGTGAAAAAGCATCACGAGCTTTTATGAACAAAATTAGTGAAATTTCTGTCTCCGGTTTTTTGTCTTGTGTATCGGTATGTTTGTCCACCACTCCAATTGTCATTTAGCCATATCATTAATCGTTCATTATGCCACTCAGTTTAAACCTCGTCTTCCTGTGGCGGTGTTTTCATCATTGCATCGTTGGCTTTTCACAGTTACGCTAATGCTGTTGATTTGTTTTAGTGTTTCGGCGAACTGTTAGTTTTTACAGTTACGTTGAAACTATAATTGTTTTGTTGGTTTTCACAGTAACCGTAATTATGTTAATTTTTAACTGCTGGGTGCACCGAAGGTTTTCACAGTAACCGTAATTATGTTAATTTTTAACTGCTGAATGCACCGAAGGTTTTCACAGTAACCGTAATTATGTAAATTTTTAACTGCTGGGTGCACCGAAGGTTTTCACAGACACGGCAATGCCGTTCTGTTGATTTTTTTAGTGTTTTGGCTAACTGTGGATTTTCAAAGTTACGGTAATCTAAATGTTGTTGAAAGTTTTGGTGTTTCGACTCACAGTAGGTTTTCACAGTCACGGGATGGATGTTGCGTTTTAAAAGTGTAACAAATTTTAGTTAATATGCGTTTCTGATGCTACAATGCAGCTATTTGCAATAAGTATAAAAAGACAATAAGATAATGAACATGTACAGTAGATGTTTTACAATATTCACTTATTGCCCATATTGAAGGGAAACATGATTCTTTGTTTCCCCTAGGTCAGTCATATTTAGCAGGGTCTGGGCGAAAATGGTTTGTCAAGAATCTTGTTAACACAATAAGATACCCTTTATAAAGGTGAGGTATAGTATTAAGTTTCTTGAGGACAATGGTACAATATATCTGTTAAAAGTGATTTTTTTCTGGAGTCTCTTTCACCAACGGATGACATTTGATTGAATACACTTGGATTACGACTGTTCTCTTGTGATACGGTGGTAGGGTTTTGCATTCCAGGACAATTTGCAGACACGTTTTAAAAGCTAATCATTACATGTAAAATAATGATAATAGCATCTTTTCAATGCCCTATATAAATTGAAGTCGTTTTCATGATATACCGCTGTGTTTATAGAACATGTGTACTTACCCAGTTTTAAAACGCTTACAGCACTGCTCGACTTTGCTAGTGTGTGAAGATCCTGAAAACGAGGCAACTATATTAATATAGTCATGTGTAACACACCAACAATCGTTATTCTTTATGACTTTGGGGTTTTTGATATTACAAGCGAATAATGTGGACGCAACAGAATCAGAAGTGTTCTTCGATCATCATCTGTGAAGCTTTGGGGACATTTTAGACACCGTTCTAAACCTGTGAGCACAAGCTTGTATAGTAGTGCTTTGTATAAAGGTAATAGGATTGTGTCGCCATTTCTCAGTAGAATTTCTTCAAATTTTGTAGTCATACTGCTTTGAGGTAAAGAAAATTTTCTGCCACAAAAAAATATAGGTTGTCAGAATTTTAAGGAATTTAAATGGAAATTTATGTAAAAAGGAGTGACTTTTGAAAAAAAAATGAAAGACACAATTTTTTGCCAAATAATGTCATTAAAAATGATTCTGCCATATATAAGTATTGCATTAATGTATATTAATTTAATAAATGCTGAAATTATGTCAAATAAACTATCTATAAACGATTAAAAATTGACATTTTATAATAATAGCAATTGCAGGTAAGAGTTATCTTTCTTGAAAAACTTCAAGTAAAATAGGTAGCCGGTTTCCTGAAGTACAGAAAAATGAATACATGTGGCTCATTGATAAAAAAAACACACCTGAATTAATGCCTGCATTGCTTTGAAATACTTTGATATTGAGAGAAAACACTGTTCTGTCAATAATAAACACACAATATACATCAATTTAATATTAAACATTAGAATATGCGGAAATCGTGATACTGTCTCCCTACCTTGGATTTTCAACTCGGGATGTACTTCCTACTTCCGTTTATCAATACACTCCTATGACCTTAAATGTCTCATTCACACTGTATCGAACAGATTAATGGCTGGGTGTAAATCTAGCACCCTCTCCCATGAATATCAGTAAAGCACCATACAAACCCTAACCCTAACCCTAACCCTAACACTCAGATGGCTTAGCTGGCAGACGCGTAGTTGCTTGTACGCCGTTACGTGGGTGAATACACCAAATTGAAGAGAAAAAAGCCACTGCTTGATGCGTACTGAATGTGTTTTCAGAAATTATGTTTGCTGATATAAAATACAACTAACCAGAGATGGTGTCATAGCCACCAAATGCTCGCCTGTTTAAAATTTTACGTATTTAAACATTCGTTTGTAAAAATATAAAATTAAAAACAGGTCAAAAGTCTAAAAAAATAAAAATATTTTTTTTTAACTTCATTTCATCAATATTTTACCCCACAGGAATCTCTATGCAAAATATCAGCATCCTAGTACACATATTTAATGACCGACAAGCTTCTAAATAACTTGCAGTTAAAACTTTAACGTGGATGTGCTTCAAAAAAGTTAAGTAAAAACCACGTAGAAAATTTCAAAAATTTGATATTATTTATTTAATTTTCACTTCATTACATCAATATTATACCCCCACAGGGACCTCCATGCTAAATATCAGCATCCTAGTACACATAGTAAACGAAAGACAAGCCTCTAAATAACTTGCAGGTAGAACTTTAACATGTTCACGCTGACGCTCATGCTCACGAGATTAAAAAAAAAACGTTTTTATTGTAGAATGTTAATTTTGCCTGCCTGCAAGGAGCAGGTGGCTCTGAAAGTTCGAAGATTATTTGACCACGTTGTCAGCTTGTCATTTCACAGTTTGGATTATGCCAATCACTTGAACGCTAACGGAAGTATGGGCCACACGGACTGATAATGCGTCACAATATCTATTTTCTACGTATGCAGTCTTCTCTCCACTATAAAAACACTATACAAACTCGAACATCCATTTGCCGTCTAGTCCTGGGCACCGCGAGAATAACAAGGAACTGTAATCGGGGCGATATGTTCCGAATTCGCCGGGGTAGCCGAGTGGTCAAAGGGTATCGCACACTGGGTCGCGGGTTCCGGCGAGGCCTTGCATTGGCCTATAAGGGGTCACCTTCAGATACTGGCTGCAGGTCGGCTATTTTTCTCCGGGCATGCTCGCCAACTTTTCAAAATATTCATTGGGAAGATTACGCGTGCTCAGAAACCTTTCAGATGAAACCTTTCATTTCTTAGAAAATAGGAAAAGTTTAGCAAATTCACTTTTTGAAAATGCTCAATTTTAGCGTTCAAATCCGGCGTCTTCCTCCTTAATAGGGAGAGGAGAGTTGCAGTGGCGTAGCATACAAATATGCTTGCATGCTCAAGCATACACTTAAATTTAAAAGAAGATTTTAATTCATAAGATATTTTTATTAATTTCTTTTTTATGATTGAAAGGAAAGTAATAAAAGTCTGGAAAATTTAAGTCTGATAAAATGATGTTGCTGTTTAGTCTGTAAACATTGACAAATTATCTCGAAGGTTTATTTAAATTAAAATCTACTTGTTGAAGTACACAATTCAAAATTAATCATATGACTAGAAATATGTCAAAATGATATGAAAGTCACCCCATATCCTCTATGATTATTTTCAGTATAATAAATCATTGACCAAGCGTCAGCTGACATATTTCCACCTGTCAATCAAAATGGTCTAACAATGACAGACGCTGTTTAAGTTACAATGCCAACACATGGACTTAATCAGAAAGCGTGTGGCAAATATAATGTTAGCGTTAATTGACACCTCGAGTACAAGAAGATCTGTTGACGCCTGGCATGGGGCACCCCTGCAGGTGGGGGATCAGGAAAAGAAAATACCTGCTGTTACCTACTGCAAGTATCGTAGGAGGCGACTAATGATGAAACCCCCATGCAGAATTGGGAATTTGCTTTGGTTTCCTTTATTTGGGACCACAAAATCGATCAATATTAATCTGCTGCGCCCATTGCAACATTTAGGATCTTAATCTTTCTTTCAACTTCTAACTACCTTTTATTTAGAAGTTCTACGATACTTCCACATAGATTCCGACATCATCAGTATCGTACGAGAATTTACATGTCATCAAGTCAACAACAGCTGGTCACTGTAAGTCAGTTATTCCTCTGAATTTAGTGTCCTTAAACTGTCGCTCAGTGAAGAATAAGTCATTGTCCATCGGGGATTTTGTAACATCTCAGGACATTGACATTTTCGATTGACAGAAACCTGGTTAGGTTCAGATATCGATGACTAGGTCCTTGATGAGCTAATACCAACAGGCTATGAATACCACCACAATGCTAGACTCAGCAAACGTGGTGGTGGGGTGGCTGTTCTGTTTAAGAAAGGCCTAAGTGTGAGACATCTCTTTTCAAGCCATGATGATGTATACACACACTTTGAGCACATGACTTGTCCTGTCATTGCTGGTGATAACCAATTTAGATTGTGTATCATTTACAGGCCTCAAACATCTAAACAGAATGCTTTCCCAAATATAGTGTTTGTTGATGAATGGTCTACCTTTTTAGACCACCAAGTTGTTGTAACACAATAGATTATTATCACGGGTGATCTAAATTTCCACTTAGACTATCTATCTAATGTTGATGCTCGCCAGTTTTCTGGTCTACTAGATTCCAGGGGTCTGATTCAGCATGCGACAGAAGATACACACACCCATGGCCATCCACTGGATATGGTCATAACGAGGGAATATAACTCAGTCATTCATGGAGCTATTTCAGTGATTGATCCATGTCTAAGTGATGTAAAGGGGAACCAATCCGGTGATCATCTTGATGTCCACACAGCACTGAATTGTAGTAAGCCAGCTCGTGTAAGGAAAGAAGTGAGCTTCCGCAAATTCCGCGAAATTTCAATACCAGATTTCAACAATGACATTCAGTTTTGTTCCGCCCTTCAATCTACTGAAGGCGAGGTTGATGATCTTGTTGAAGCATACACATCTGGTATAGAAGCCCTTATAGAGAAACACGCACCTCTGCAAACTAAGGTGATAACTGCGAGACCAAATGCCCCGTGGTATAATGCAAATCTACGCGTAGAAAAACAGAACCGTAGAAAAGCAGAGAGACAGTGGTGACGGACCAAATTAACCGTTCACGAACAGATTTATAGAGAGCAATGTCGGCTAGTTGGTTCACTACTTTTTCAGTCAAAGAAGGCTTATTATCGGAAAGAATCGAAGAATGCGGCAAGGATAATAGACAGCTTTTTAGACTCACCAAAAACCTAATGGGACAGAAAGGTGAAATTATCCTACCAACCTGTAATTCTGAAAAAGACTTAGCAAGCAAGTTCAGTGATTACTTTCTGAATAAAATCAGCTCAATCAGGAAAAATATTGCCTTAGTGAACACCTCTGCTGACATTGACATCTCTATCATGACTGCTGACATTGCATTTGATGGGGAACCATTGGCAAATCTCTCACCAACCACCCAGGACGAGTTGCGCAACATTATCATGACCTCGCAATCGAAGTCCTGTGAGCTTGATCCACTGCCTCCAGACCTATTAAAGCAATGTCTTGAAACACTGCTTCCTTTGATTACCTCAATCATGAACAAATCATTGGCTGAGTCAAAGGTTCCATTAGGTTTCAAGAAGGCACATGTCAGACCATTGTTAAAGAAGCCTGGAATGGACAAGGAGGAGTTGAAAAACTACCGCCCAGTTTCAAATCTGCCTTTTCTGTCTAATATCTTGGTTAAGGTTGTGTCCCGGCGTTTAGAGGTTCATCTCCATGCAAACAGTCTCCATGCCAACATGCAATTAGCCTACCGCATGGAACACTCTACTGAGACGATCCTCCTACGTGTACATAATGATATAGCTTCTGCATTGGATAACAAGTGCAGAGCGGTGCTTGTCATGCTGGACTTGTCAGCTGCATTTGACGTCATCGACCATGGCATACTTTATAAATGTCTGGAATACTCTTATGGGGTGACTGATACCGCACTATGCTGGATACAGTCTTACCTGAGTGAACGACGATAGCGTGTTGCCATCGGATCTTCCATTTCACATGACAAAGTACTAGATTTCGGGGTTCCTCAAGGGTCGGTGTTAGGACCACGAAAATATTGTAT